AATTTTCACAAGTGGCCACTAATTTTGGCTGCCGAACTTGACATTTAGGGCCTAATTGAGAGGTGCTGAGAACCCACAGTCCCCACTGACTCACTTAGCACCTAAAGGAAATAGGCACCTTAGAAAATCCTAAACTGTAAACTCTAGGACAGATCCACAGCTGGCATAACTCAATGTAAAACCTTTGATGTTGATGCTTCAATGGAGCTACATACGTTACATCAGCTGAGGATTCCCCCCCACCTCTCCTCTTTCAACAACCTTTTTAAACAAGAATAATTTTTCTTCATTTTTTAATTGATCCGTCTTTCATGAGATGTCTAGGCGGAGAACACTGTAGAAGAGGAAAATATTTGTTTTAAATGCCTCACTCCAGTGGTTTATCATCTGACAGAAAAGAAGCATGACAGATTGATTAGCCTAGATCAGCTTCAGAGAAGCATCCAAACTGCAAAGGATGCTTGTGCTGCTTAAAACCTAGTGCCCTGTTGTAATAGACTGCTAGTCATTTGAGAAGAATCCAGGCCACAGTGATGTTAAGTTTCAGAGTAGCAGCCGTGTTAGTCTGTATTCGCAAAAAGAAAAGGAGGACTTGTGGCACCTTAGAGATGAACAAATTTATTTGAGCATAAGCTTTCGTGAGCTACAGCTCACTTCATCGGATGCCTTCATGTGATGTTAAGTATTCTGCTGATTCAGTCTATTTAGCCTCTCGCCCTTCTGAGGGGAGAAGTGCTGTGGTGATTTAGTTGGTGTTGGGGATTGGTCCTGCTTTGAGCAGGGGGTTGGACTAGATGACCTCCTGAGATCCCTTCCAACCCTCATCTTCTATGATTCTAATACAAATAATAATAAGTGTGTAATGAGGAGAGTTGGGCAGGAACTGGATATTTTGTTCTGCGGGAAAATCCCTGATTTCAGAATCTTGTTTTAGTCTGAAACGGAATTAAAAGAACAAATTTTGAAATTATTCCTATGAAATGAAACTTCAGGTCAGTTGAAACATTTCACTTCGATAAAAGTCAAACATTTCACTCTGTTTTCATGTTATACTATATTAAAGAAGATTGTGTCTTTATTTTTGACATGGAAAATTGAAACGTTCTGTTTCAACCTTTTCAAAAAAGCTCTTCCTCCCCCTCCCCAATTTTTTCTTTCAGAAACTTTTTTTTTTTAAAGTTCCGCTTCCAATGAGTCCGCACTTCCAGACACACACACATTCCACTCGAAAATTTCTGACCACCTCTACCACTGCACTTTCGTTCCATGTTCCTTTTCTGAAGTTTCAGTTCCATGTTCAGATGTTCCCAGGGCATCGTGTGTGTGTGTGTGTGTCTGTCTCTGAGCCCTTATTAGAAACAGTCAGGGTTCCGTACTGCCTGAGCCATGAGAAGGGGGTCGGTTTTATCACATCCACTGTTCTTTTAGCTAAAAGAGGCCAGGCCAGACTCCATTCAGAAGCCCATTTGTGCTGCTTGCTGCTCAGTGAATTGCTTGTTGGCAAAAGCTGCTGGTTTGATGGCTCTAAAGTCCTCCATTTATCCAAAGAATTGTTACAGCATAGTCCAGGCCATTCAGAGAATCGTAGGACTGGAAGGGATCTTGAGACGTCATCTAGTCCTGTCCCCTGCACTCATGGCAGGACTAAGTATTGTAAGCTTCTCTCTGCCATTCCAGTCTAATTATTATTATTGTATGTGTATTATGGCACTGCCTTGAAGCCTTAATCCTAGATGACTCCACTGCGCTAGGTGCTGTACAAACACAGAACAAAAAGACAGTCCTTGCTCTGAAAAGCTTAAAATCTAAGTAATGTTTCTTCCCTCTGACTGTGTGAGGCTGCTTCTCAGAAGTCCGGTACAGTGGCCCATTCATTCCTTTGCCTGCCAATAAGGGGTTTGCATTTTTTAAAGAAAACCCTATTTTATCATTGGTTACATATCTTACATTGGTTATGTATCATAACTTACATGAACTTTGCACACCACTATTAACCGATCTCTGTCCTAATCTGTATGTAGTACCTTTATAAGACCCATTTGTGTTTGATCAACCTCTTTATCTGTGTGTGTCTTTTGTTCAGATTCCGAAAACGGTAACCAGCTGTCATACAATCTACTTGATCCTGATATGAGGCTGGTGGACCTTGGTTTGCTTTCCATCTAAAGGCTTGCCCGTGCTTTTTCTCCATGCCAGTAAAGTTGGGGGAGATCTGTCCCTTTTGAGAAAATCCACTGTCACAGTGTTGGCTGCTAGTAGCAATGGAGTTACCAGTGACCCCTTCTTCCGAGATGAGGATGCTCCTTCCCTGAAAGTGGGGCTGAAACAGTCACTCCTGCTCCTTAGCTGACTCCTGCCCAGGGCTCAGTGAGGAAATTACTAGGTGGAATTCTGAGGACTGTGTTATACAGGAAGTCAGACAAGATGATCATTTTGGGCCCAGTCTGACTCTAAAATCTACGGCGAGCTTGTAACCCGTGTAATGAGACAATCTGGGCTGGAAATCTGACCAGTGTCTCCAACATGGCAATACTGGCCCACTGTTGCTCAAGTACCAAACCAGGCTGCTTGCTGCCACCTCATGTGAATACGTGGTTTGAACAAAGCCTTTTCTTTCCACAGTATCCTTGATTAACACTCAAACTTGTTTAAAATCTCCCTGGGACCTGGAGCTTTTGAGAGATGTGGATCTAATTACCATGCCCGACATAAATGTATGGAAACAGGAACCCGAAGCGGGCTTTGAAACAACGGAGATCAGATGTGCTTTCTAAGAGTGCTAATCCAAAAGCAGGATATTGGTTTTCAGTATCAGCTGTGAACGATAATTTAAAACAGCACAGGACAAAATGGAAAACAGTGTAGCAATTAGGAGGGGAAGGAAAGCTTTTGTATTCTCCGACGGATTCTTGTGTCCCACTTCTCTTCCTCTGCTCTGCTTTGTCCTTACTACTGAGACTTGACTTCACAATGTTTCATTCTATAGAATCGCCAGCACTGAGTTGGCTGTGTTCATCACGCTTGGTGGAAGAGGTCCCTTTTAAAGCAGACCCCCTTTCTTGTGAGTGTCTTCATCTATATATAGATCATCTCTGTGACATGCTCTTGTGGTGGTGGGTGCTTTCGTAACAAGAAAACAAATGGAAGAGTGCAGTGGATCTTTGGCAAGTGCTCTCTAAACACCTGAGTCTTTGATTATTCATCAACTTCATCTAGGCTAAGAACTTTAAGTTTTAAGCTGTTTAGTAAATTCTTCTAGTGCCACAAAGGCTTATTTTGTGAGTGTATAAAAAATGATCCACTATGGGCCCCTTAAACAGATCTGCTGCTTGCCTCTGATTTTTCCATAGGGTTGGAAGAACAAATCCAGCCCCCACTCAGTGGATAATTTCCTTTCCTTTTGGTCTCTCTTGACTTTTTCCTCAGCCTGCAGTCTCGATCGCTTTCATGACCGCTTCTGGGCCAAATTCAGGCTTGGTGTCAACAGATGCAGCTTCTTTGTCCCATCTACACCAATCCGAATGGCAGGACTGCAAAAGACCTACTTAAAAATCTAAACCCTGCAGGGGTATTAGCGAGGTGCCTCTGGAAAGGGAAATGGAATTTGCTCTTCTCCTACAAAATTCTTCCCTTCCTCCCATGTTTCTAGGAGTCTATGGAGGAGGGTGTCTGGTTGGCTCAAGGGATTGGTAAATAGAGGCAAAGGGCTCTGTTCTCTAAGTTACCTACTCAGACCAGCCTAGCAGTGCCTGAGTGTTCCTCGGGTGACATGCTGGCCTATGTGAAAGGAGATGGGGAATTTAGTCTGCTTCTCCGTGGGTAAGCATCCGTCATGGAGAACGACCACCACACTGTCGCTAAAACGCACCCTCTGTTGGCAGCCTCAACAAAGAGGCCAAGAGCTGGCTGGGCCATGAAGACTGAACTCCCCTCTCATCCCAGAGGTGGGGCCTCCAAGACAGACTTGAAGCACCTTTGGCAGGGTGGCATGGGAATCTTACTCTGCTCCAGGCGGCATCTCTCTTGTGGCTCCATGGAGGATTTCTCTCTCTGATGCTGCCAGTTGCGCACCCTGGTTTCTGTGGCCCCTCCTTCGTTTGGAGGGGGGGTGGGTTTCTTCTGGTTGGCTCACTCCCACCCTTCCCCTCACCAGCACTAAGCTAATCTTAAAGCTCAAATCACAATGGAGGAGTCTGTTTGTACAGTACCATGCATAATGCGATCCTGATCTGTTACTAGGACCCTTAGATGCTACAGTAATAGAAATAAAATCTCATAGTAATAAGGGTCCTGCCTGTATGGGAGAATTGCTTAAAGAGAGACACTGGGATTATTTTAAACCACCTAAAGGATTTGGGTGTCCAGTTTCCATTAATACGAACAGGAATCCGGGATCTAAAACTCCTGGACAGCTTTGAATATGTCTAGCAAAACCAAGAGGGTTCTACAGAAATTGCTCTTAAAAATCTTCAGTGCTTAATAGGGTTTTCTGAACTATAGTGGTGGTCTCCTTTTCTATCTGGTGGAATTCTGTGGCAGGGATACAATTACCTATTTAAAGTTTAGAGGGTGGTTTGGAGTGGAAAAAACCCCACTAAAGAGGTTAATGCTTTTCTAGTAAACTCTTTCGGGCTTTACTGTATGGGTTATGAACACTTGTGTGCTGTGCCCCTGAAACTCTGCATCATGCGAAATCTAAATCATTGCTGAGCACAACCCTGCGGGCAGAGAATTGTCTCAGACTTGTCTAATGCACATGTAACGCTGACCGATCCCGATCGTCGGTGGGTGGGATCGAACCTGGGGCCTCTGGAGCTTACTGCGTGAGCCTCTATGGCATGAACTAAAAGCCAACTGCCTCTTAGCTAAGGCTCTCGAGCAGACTCATTTAACTAAGTGGCCTTGGTGCCACTAGAAGGGACAAAACACCACACCCAGAAGCTGTGTGGGTTACACCTGGAGTTAAAAATGTATCTTTGTTGTTTGTCCACCCCATCTAGGTCCCCCAGTGGCTGCTGCAGTCCGTTCCCATTTTAACGACTGTCCCGACTCCCACAGTCACTTCTGCTTCCACGGGACCTGCAGGTTTCTGGTGCAAGAGGAGAAGCCAGCATGTGTGTAAGTCTCTTCCTGTGCCAAAGTGTTTTGCTTGTGTGAGCACAAGTGAAACTGAAGAGAAAGTGATCCACTGTTCCTCAGGGCAGCAGGGTCATGATAGTACCCATTGCATCCCCCCTTGGGTTGCAAACTGGCACATATAACTTTTTGCATTATCTTTGGAGTCACAAAGAGGAAACCACACCGGCTGGAATTTTCAGCGAGAATAGAGTACCCACCTCCCCTTGTCCTTCACGGCACAAAGATGGGGTGGAAAAAGTCAAACCTGGGTGCCGAAAGTTAGGCTCCTAAATCCATATTTAGTTATCTAAGGGCCTGTCTACGCTACAGTTAGACAGCCGTGGCTGGCCCGTGCCAGCTGACTGACTCGCAGGGCTTGGGCTGCGGGGCTGTTTAATTGCAGTGTAGACATTCCCAAGCTCTGGGACCCTCCCACTTCACAGGATCCTAGAGCCTGGGCTCCAGCCTGAGACCAGAGGTGTCAAGGTTCCTCCCCCACTCTGAACTCTAGGGTACAGATGTGGGGACCTGCATGAAAAACCTCCTAAGCTTATCTTTACCAGCTTAGGTCAAAACTTCCCCAAGGTACAAAATATTCCCCCCGTTGTCCTTGGCCTGGCTGCTACCACCACCAAACTAATACTGGTTACTGGGGAAGAGCTGTTTGGACGCGTCTTTCCCCCCCAAAATACTTCCCAAAACCCTGCACCCCACTTCCTGGACAAGGTTTGGTAAAAAGCCTCACCAATTTGCCTAGGTGACTACAGACCCAGACCCTTGGATCTTAAGAACAATGAACAATCCTCCCAACACTTGCACCCCTCCTTTCCTGGGAAATGTTGGATAAAAAGCCTCACCAATTTACATAGGTGACCACAGACCCAAACCCTTGGATCTGAGAACAATGAAAAAGCATTCAGTTTTTTACAAGAAGACTTTTAATAAAAAATAGTAGTAAATAGAAATAAAGAAATCCCCCCTGTAAAATCAGGATGGTAGATATCTTACAGGGTAATTAGATTCAAAAACATAGAGAACCCCTCTAGGCAAAACCTTAAGTTACAAAAAAGATACATAGACAGAAATAGTTATTCTATTCAGCACAATTCTTTTCTCAGCCATTTAAAGAAATCATAATCTAACACATACCTAGCTAGATTACTTACTAAAAGTTCTAAGACTCCATTCCTGTTCTGTCCCTGGCAAGAGCAGCATACAGACAGACACAGACCCTTTGTTTCTCTCCCTCCTCCCAGCTTTTGAAAGTATCTTGTCTCCTCATTGGTCATTTTGGTCAGGTGCCAGCGAGGTTACCTTTAGCTTCTTAACCCTTTACAGGTGAGAGGAGCTTTCCCCTGGCCAGGAGGGATTTCAAAGGGGTTTACCCTTCCCTTTATATTTATGACAAGAGGTCTACACGGCAATTAAACAGCCCTGCAGCCCAAGCCCCGCGAGCCCGAGTCAGCTGGCAAGGGCCAGCCACGGGTTTTTAAACTGCAGCGTAGACATAACCTTAAATTACTAGCCTGATCTTCAGTGGTGCCCCCAGCAGGTCCCATAACTCAAATGGGTATTTGCAGGGGCTCAGCATTCTGAAAACCTAGCCTAGCTAGATGGCTTTTGGAGGCCTGAAAACTTAGCCAAGGAGCTGCTGGCTTAGTATGTGCTCAGGGCTTTACCTTGCAGTTCTTGATCAGGTACAACTTACTTTGACTTCAGTGGGAACTTTGCCAGCGTAAGCTGCAGGATCAACCCGTTAATTGGCATTTGAAGTATTGCTAGCCTGTCTTTGTCCCGCTCTTTATTCTCTGGCTAGGGGACTGAGGTGGTTGTCTGCCAAATGCCTTTTGAGAATACCAGTGACTGGATCGTTATTTCTTGGGGGCGCCTGGGCTTTGGCACTTTCTTTTTTTAATTCTCATGTCTCTTCTTTTCACAGCTGCCATTCTGGGTTTGTCGGGACGCGATGCGAACACGCAGACCTCCTTGCAGTGGTAGCTGCCAATCAGAAGAAACAAACCATCACTGCCTTGGTAGTGGTTTCAGTGGTAGCGTCCGTCGTCCTTATTGTGGCCTGTGTACTAATACAGTAAGTCTGCTTTACGTGCTGTTGTGCCTCAGCTTACTACTACTTTACTGGGTCTCAGGGAGATTCTGTTGATTTGTCTTAGCCGTGCCGAAGTATCCACACAGACTCGAAGTCCCGTTCCACCACGCATTACAGAACCATAGAAACGGGGGACTGGAAGAGACCTTGGTAGGTCATCTCGTCCAGTCCTCTGCACTGAGACAGGACTAAGTGTTCTCTAGACCATCCCTGCTTGTCTACCTGCTCTTAAAAACCTCCAGGGACAGCGATTCCACAACACCCCTAGGTCATTTTTTCCAGTACTCAACCACCCTGATTAGTTAGGAGTAGTTTCCTAACGTGTAACCTAGATCTCCCTTGTTGCAATTTAGGCCCATAGCTTCTTGTCCTGTCCTCAGTGGTAAGGAGAAAAATGTATCACCCTCCTCTTAATAAAAAGAAAAGGAGGACTTGTGGCACCTTAGAGACTAACCAATTTATCTGAGCATGAGTTTTCGTGAGCTACAGCTCACTTCATCGGATGCATTCAGTTCACAGTATGCATCCGATGAAGTGAGCTGTAGCTCACGAAAGCTCATGCTCAGATAAATTGGTTAGTCTCTAAGGTGCCACAAGTCCTCCTTTTCTTTTTTGCAAATACAGACTACCACGGCTGCTACTCTGAAACTCCTCTTTATAACAACCTTTTACATACCTGAAGACTGTTATCAGGTTCCCCCTCAGTCTTCTCTTCTCCAGACTAAACAAACCCAATTTTTTTCAATCTTTCTTCATAGGTCATGCTTTCTAGACCTTTCCTAAATTTTGTTGCTCTCCTCTGGACTTTCTCCAGTTTGTCCATGTCTTTCTCAAAGCGAGGGGGTCCAGAACTGGACACACTACTCCAGTTGAGGCCTAATCAGCATGGAGTAGAAGAATTACTACTTGTGTTTTGCTTACAACACTCCTGCTAATACATCCCAGTTCCATATAAAGCCTAAATTTAATTCTCTTTCAAGCAGTCTTTTTAGTTGTTTCAGAGCCGTGGTTGGGAATTGGGAAGGGATGGACCCGGGGTATTTATACACAGAATAATCTGAACCTCATAATGGTAGTTTACTGGTAGGATGTTTGAGTGCAGTGCCAGGGGAAAAATTTCTGTCTGAAAACCTGCTGACTTCTAAGGCTGTCTATTTAAATGGATGAACTGAGAAGCTAATATAAAAACTATGTACCAAAATAGGCCAAATTCACAGGTATAAAAGAGGGGGCCTGTTTACATCAGTAAATGGACATAAGGGCATCTAAACTGTGTATCTTGCATACTACAGGACTGGAAGAAGCTGTAGGTTACATTAACTAGACTCCTTCAGGTTCTTCTCTGAACAGGCCCTATGCATGTAGACTGTGAAAATTGCTTCCATGGGAGCTGCTGACTCTAGACCTGACCCTGTGTGGTGCTGAGCCCCTGAATAGGATTGGGCCTCTGGTTTGTGGGGTTTTTTTTCTTTTTTTTGGTTTAGTTTTTTTTTTCCAGCCAAAGTTGATGCCACGACTAACACGCGAAATAGTGCATGAGATGAAGCTCGCTATTCTATTTAATGTGCTAGTGAATGGAACTGTTGCAGGGGAAATGCAGACCGCTGTACTGCGCTCTTAGAGGGCAGAAAGCTTTCTGGTTGCTACTGTGATACAAGAAACATTATTTGTGCCAATGCCCATTTCTGTGAATAACTGGAGTTCTACAGAACAGCTCATCCCTATGGATGTAAAGTACTTCAATGTTCATTCTAAGGGCAGGTGGACAATATACTCGTGTTGCAACATGAGTGTGTTAAGAGAACAATACTGTCTTCACTGTGTAATTTAAAGGAATAGGTAAGTGTTGCTGTTGATTTCCCAACCCAAGTGTCTTGTGTTACGAGACATATTGCTTCACAGTCTCTCTGCATGTCCTAACTCTTCTTTCAGTTAGCTCTTAACTCTTCATTCACGATGGGATCAAATGAACAAACCAGTCAGTACAGCTGCAATAAGCCAGAGTGTTTGTTTGTCTTGCCCTAATTGTCACTTTTCTCATGGCTGATATATACTTATAAATGTAAATAAATCTTTCAACAGCACATCAATCGGTGCTATTGGCCGCTGTGTACAATTTGTTCCAAATTCATTGAGGGCTTTTTTTCCCCTCCAGTTGTCTGAGGTCTAAACCAGAGTTTCTGAGCGCTTGTGGTTTATTTCTCTGTATTAAAATAGCCCCGAGAGGCCCCAAATGAGATCAGGATCACGCTGCGATAGGATCTGTACAGATGCATAGTGCCAGTCAATTTTTTACATTCTAGATCAAGGGTGAGAGAGAAGTAGTATCATCACCCCCATTTCACAAATGGGAAACTGAGGCACAGAGGCCCTGATTCAGGTGAGCATTTCAGTATATGCTGAAAATCAAGCACATGCTTTTGTGCCTTCCTGAATAGGGGCCAAAGTCAGAGTAGGTGACTTATCTAAGATGACACAATGAGTCTGTGGCAGAAGTAGGAATTGAATCCCAATCTCCTGAGTCACTGACTGGTGCCTTTGTCGTCAGGCTGTCCTTCCTCTCTAGATCACCCTTCCTGTCTAGACCAGATTCTGAAAGATCTCGTGGCCCTTTTCCTAGGAGTAGGGCTTTGAGTCTCCAGTGTCTGGTTCAAATTCCAGATCTCTGATAACTAACCAGATGTAAATTCATTCCTGTGCATCAATGGAGCTACACCAGGGGTGAGTGTGTCCCATTTTTGCCTATCTAAATTCCCCTGTTGCTTTGCAATGATTAGGCATTCCCTTTGTCCTTGCATCAAGACACTCACTCTCTCTCATGTAGCATTGTTGGGGCTGTAGTAATGCCTGTCATTTCCCACCCCAGTAGGGGAATTGCGTTTCGGTGCTAAGCGAAGTGAATGCTGTGTGATTTTTCTCCCCTTCTTCCTCCCCCCCCCCCCACCCCCCCCACCCCTTGATGCTTCCCAAGGCAGCTGTACAAATTAGACTTCAGCACCACCATTCTTGTTCGCGTAAAGAGAAGCAATGGACCACATTCTACTCTGTTAGTCTGCATTGGCATCTTCACTAAAATCAATGGAGCTCTCTGGGGGTAGCTGAGAGCAGAACTAAGCCCAGTATGTTGCTGAGATGGTTATTGCTGAACAGTAAAGACCTCTTCATTGTTGGTTGTTTTTTTTTTTCCCCTCCTTCCCTGTGCACAAGCTATTTGCCTTGTCTCCATCCTAATACCCCTGCCCTAAATTGCATTTCAGTTGCTGTCGGATAAGAAAACATTGTGAGTGGTGCCGAGCCTTCATCTGCAGACACGAGAAGCCCAGTGGGCTCCTGAAGGGGGGAACTTCCTGTTGCCATTCAGAGACAGGTAGGAGGAACAACAGTCGTAGCAACAGCTTCCTTCCAACGGTTAAATTGGTTGGCCGTGGAGATGAAGATCCTGCTAAGGAGCTGAGTTCCATTTAGCTGGCATCAGTAGCAGGCAAAGTCCAAACGATCCCTCGTCTATTATTCTTTAACTTGTATCTCCCCATACCCATGGGTGATGCATGCAGCCTGGCAGTAGCCATTATCAGATGCATCAAAGGAAGGTCCAAGGAACCTTTTGTGACAGCCACCATCTTGGTCAACACACTGGGACTTGAACCAGGGATCTCTACAGCTAAAGCATGAGCTGCTACAGTTTTTTGAGCTAAAGAGTCAAGGCTGCCTAGCACTGCAACAGACTCCTATCCTTGGTGGATCGGGAACAGGGGCGGACCTATGGTGGGATTCCCTCTGAGACCTTTTTTCCATTCAGCTGCTCAAGAACTCAGTTTGACTCCAGATTGTCACTCTGGTATCTTTATTTTGATCTCCAGCAAAGCTGTGCTGAGTTGATCAGATTCAAGCATAGGGGATAGGTATAGGGCATACCACACACCCAAACTTACACAGAAAACCTCTTCCTTTTTGTATACATGTACACATGATGTTGCATTTACTGTTTTGGGATTGGCTTGGCTACTTCAGAGGTACCAATCCCTGTATAGTATGCTCTAGACACACACTGTCCATGTGACTTTTTACTTCCTCTTTACATTCCACGCTTATTTTGTCCATTTTAAATGGCTCCCTGGGTGTTCCCCCTCATTTTAGCTAGTATAGACATGGTCTCTTATCTTACCGGCCCATTAACCTATCTTAGTTTTAGCGTGGACATTCTGTTCCCAACCTCCTGTTCCATTTACCTCTCTAACCTTGTCTCCCAAGAAATGAGGCCTCACCCATGTCTGACTCATGTCAAGCCAGGCCTACAACCTGTAACACACTTACCAGTGGGTTATATCTGCAGTAGGCAGTTATGAGAGCAGGATCAATGGGGTCCTTTTGGAGATCACATAAGGTAACGTGAACATCAGTACACTTCATCCTTCAGCGTCGTCTATTAGAATGGTCCTGTTTACCCCTTGGAATGCATCTGAGATCAACCTTTCATGCATGAAATTTTTTTTTAATTTCATTCCTACCTTTTTTTGTGGGGGGCGGGCGGGCGGGGAGGCTGACTTACCAGGTAAGTAAGAACTGCTGAGCAACTTTTGTTTCTTAAGTGAATTTAGCTGGCATTTCCAAGATGTAGAGTGATGCCTAGCTCTTGTGTAGCAATTTTCATCCATAGATCTCCAAGTTCTTTTTTGCAAAGGAGGTCAGTATCCTTAATACAAGTTTACACATAGGGAAACTGAGTCACAGAGAGGGGGAAGCGACTTCCCAAGGTTACCCATCAAGCTAGCAGCAGAGCTGGGAGTTGAACCCAGATTCCCTGAGTCCTGGTTCAGTGCCCTACCCACTAGGTAACACTGCCTAAGATACAGTGAAATAACTTCATTAATGTTGCCATATAAAATTCAGATTTTTAATTCCCAAGGATCAAATGGGGTGATGTAAAACGAAGTTGGTGTAACACTGAATCAGGCCCCATTGGGTCTGGTCATGTGAGTAAGGATTGCTGGTTTAGACCCCATGCTGAGAGAAATGCAAATATTGAAGAGCCAAAAGAGTGGGAAGTAATATATAATCTAATAAATGAGTAAATTTTATTTAAGTGAGGGAAGATTTCAAATGTGCAGTGGTAGCTAACCAACCTTTGAAAATCTCCCCCTAAATATGATATTTCCCCAGACTCCCTTTTTATAGACCATCTGAATTTATAGTAAAGCATCTTTTGAGTGCTGAGTGATTTTTGCACCCTTTAAAATTGATTTACAAACCATTTGGCCTGCCTACTTAGGGCTACGGCATCTGCATGTAAACCAGTCCCATTTGTGGCACTAAATGAGCATTGATTTGCAAGAGATTTCCCATGACACTGGAAGAAATCGCAACCATTTTTAGCATCTCTGAAAATCCAGCTTCTGTGCATTTGGCAGTTTGGTACAACATATTCTTTGTCAGTGCAGGGGTTTTTTGCACCACGTGCTGCCATAAATTCAAGGTGACCTATGACATACCGTCTAGGCAGGGGCCAGAATTATTCTGGATCTCTTCCTGTTTTTCTTTAATTTTGTCTCTGCTCTAATTATTTATCTTTGTCAGCCTGACTTATTCATCGCGCTCACGAAGGAGACTGAGAATTCTGTAGAAAGCATGTACTCCTCTTCGTTGCTTTTAGAGTATTAGATCGATTTGTAATAGCAGCTAAGGTGCCTTTGTTTGTCCTGGCTTTATAGAGCGGTCTCCTGAGCTGTTTGTGGCTATATCAGGTGCTCCACATCGTAGGGGAGGTGTACGTTTCATACCGTGAAGGAGAGAGTGCTGAGACTTCCATAAAGAGACAGGGAGCCCTTCTCCATCGACCAGGCACCGAAACAGCAGTGTCGTTTGAAAGTGAATGTTTTTGAATGAGCAAGAAGGAAAAACGAGCTATCTACTCCCTGCCCTAAATAGTCAAATTTGACTAACTGAGGAGTAATTTTGGTTGCCCAAATTAAGCAGCCTGATCTTCAGAAAGTGCTGAGCATCCACCCTCTAACTGTTCTTAAATGCCATAAGTTAGGCACCCAAAATAATAAGTTATTTAGCCCCTCTGGGTTACTGCTGTAATGGAATTTCTAATGTATTTAACCATGGAGGACAGGTCTAACAATGGCTATTGGCCAAGATGGTCAGGGATGCAAACCTATGCTCTGGGTGTCCTTAAACCTCTGACTGCCAGAAACCGGACAGGGGATGGATCACTCAAAATTGCCCTGTTTTGTTCATCCCCTCTGAAGCACCTGGCACTGGTCACGGTCAGAAGACAGGATACTGGGCTGGATGGACCATTGGTCTGATCCAATGTGGCCGTTCTTATGACTCACTTGCCTTCTGATGCTAGACTAGAGCCAAATTACACCCTTGTTTGCTCCCATGGAAGTAGGTTAACCCGTGTGGTGTATGTTTTTTGTTTTTTATTCTGCAGTGGTCTGAAGGAGAACTGGATCTGACCAATATATTAATTGCCATGGCCAGATGGGACTGCTGCAGTATAATAAAGGAGGCCTATCCCATTCAAGAGAAGAACATTTTTTCCATGGAAGAAAATGCTCTGGCGTGGGATTAGTATCAAGCATACACTACATTACCTTGACTCTTCATATGCATCCTGTATTATAGGCTGAGCTTTCAGAACCTTGCCAAATCGAGGGCACCATCTCCATGGGGCTATGCAATGTGAAGCCATGAAGTAACGAGTAGACCACCTCTCAACCACCATGGAATCTTAGACTGTTTTATGAGACTTCAGACTCGGACACGAGAACGACACGTGGGTCAGCTTCATGTTTACGTAGATGTGATGATTTGGGGGGATGGGGGAGGGGAAGTAGGTTTGACACCAGCGATTGGGGGTGGCGGGGGGAGTGTGTACAGTCCAGGTTGGAGATTGCTTACTGGCTGTCTGTCGGTATCTGTCCTGCTTTGAGACTTTATGGAACGTACCTGAAGACTGGGTCTTTGGTTCATGCATTTGTTACATATTTGACTCATTAGGAGGAGCAGTTGCAGGTCTCCATTTTTCAAAAGAGAGAACGCAGCCCTTTCAAAGGAATATCCTATTTGCCTGACTGCGATTTTTTTCCTTTATGCTGCCGGGGCCATTGGGACATTCGCCCTGCCAGATGAAATCTGGGGCAGGGGAAATACAGGACGAGATGGACTGGCCAGGGCTATCCTTTCCCTTTCTGATGATATTCAATTTCTCTTCATCGGGAGACAAGTTGCAAGAGAGAAATAGCAACGCGCAAGCCAGTGTGGCGGGGGGTGGAATGTGTTCAAGCCCCCACAGTCCTTTGCGTTTTAAACGTGATGGCAGAAAATATTACAAGTTATTGAGGCAGAAAAATGTGTTTGCGGGTTAAATGTCTTTGGTGTTCTTGGAAAGCTGAAAAAATGGAACATGGAAATAAGCATAACAAAATGGCGGCCATTGGGGTGGTGGCAATCTAGGCATTTAGAGCCTGATCCAAAGCTTATTAAAGTCTTTCCAATGTCTGTAATGGGTTTGGATGAGGCCCTTAGACATGTGGCTTTTTGCATTTCTTTATGCTCTTTAGGGACTGTTCAGAAAACTTTAGGAGTTGCTGTGTTATGACAATGGGAAACCTAGGGCCCAATCCTGCAAACCCTTCCACATGGGAATAGAATAAGCTCATGGGGTCTGATTTTGATCTTGCTTACACTGGTGTAACTCCATTGGTTACTCTGGAGTGAGATCAGAATCAGGCCCTCCTAAGTAAATGGGACTATTCCCTGAAGTATGGATTATAACTTGTAGGTAAATGTTTGCATACCCCTAGTCCCTCTTTGAGTCTGAGAGGATAAACCCACACTGTACATTATGCAATTGGATAACAAACTTGACAGTCCCACCTATGAAATATTCTTCTGAATGTTGATCTGAAGTTTGCTTCCAGATCTGCCTGGCAAAATACAGTCCTAGAGTCAAATTCACTACTATGGGCCTAAGTGAGACCTATCCCTCCACTGAGGTCAGTGAAGCTTCCCCTGCTTACACCTCTTAGGAATTTGGCCCTAGGTTTGTCCTGATGATTGAAGAGCAGAATTTCACCCTTTTGTTTAGAAGCAAAATGTTACAGGAGGAATGCTTGCAACTTTAACCCAGATCCATAGTAGGGAAAATAGAAACAATATATATTTATCTTATATAGAGAAACCACTGCCTTACTTATTCATTTTCAAACTCTTACTTAAAAGAGGCAACAGTCTTATGAACTTCTGGTTTCCTATAATACAGCAACCTAATGACTGGCACCGGAGGAAATTTCGAAATAGATACACAAGTGATGGTTTGTTCCATAATCTTAATTGTCAGAGATCAGCATGTTTCAACCCTTTGCTGGACCTGCACCTTGACTGAGTCTGACGCAGTCTTCCAATGGCCCTGATTCTACACCTATTAAGTCCACTCCCCTTGATTTCTTATGGAGGCAGATTGACCCCCAACCAAAAGATGGCTTTTGTCAATCTCTGCCCAGGATTTTTTCCCCGCCCAACTCCGTTTAATTCTTTGATTTATTTTTAAAGCTGATTTGAAAAATTAATTTTAAAATAGCAGCATCTGTGTCTGAGAGGTGGATATGGATTATTGCACTTGGCAGTGATGCGGCAGGCACTTCGCCTTGAGGGTGTGGCAGCGTGGGGTGTGGTCTGGTCAATTTCTGAGCTGTATGTGTGATTCCATCAGTGATGCTCGGAGTCTGTCAAAGAGGAAAAGCCCAACACATCTAATGTCCTGATTCTGTAAAGCACTTAAGCGTCTGCTTAAAGTTTAAGCAAGTGCTTAAGCACTTTCCTGAATCGGGGAGTAATTGCTGAATTACCCACTTTTCTCTGATATCTTCTAAAACATCAGAGCACCCTCTCCTCTGGCTCAAAAAGACTGGAGAAGAAATATCTGAACTGAAGTGCCATGTAACTGCCCTGCAGCAGGTTAATAGTTCTGCTCCATCTCTGAGATCCCTGAAATCTTTTGTGTAGGGAGGGACCCTATTGGTCTGTTCTTGGTTTCTGAGCACTTCAGGAAACTTGGGGCCAAATTTCCTGCTGGCATAAGTGGCCATAAATTCTATTGATATCGGTGGCACTCTGACCATTTCTGTCAGTGGCAAATTCAGCCCTTAAGATTGAAGCGGTGTTGCTGATGGCCATAATTACAAGAGCTGTATAAATCGCTTAGTCCTGCTTTTTAGAACGTAGGCTTTAACCTCTAACCTAGGGCTCCCAAGAAAAGTTCGACCTGATTTTTAGTGCCCTTTTCACCTTAGAACATGCAGAGTGCTCCAGCCATGAGGAGTGGGGACTGTGGTTTTTAGCATAGTTTTTAAAAAATTGCGTCCAAATGTCGTATGGAAGCTGTGCATTTAGGGCCCGATTCCACAAGGAGCAGAGTACCTTACATTGCACCCTGCAGGATAGTGCTTTCTCTCTTTTGCTTTTTATATGGGAATAAGACTAAAGAATTGATTTCTTGTAGCCTAAATTATTTAGGCTTCTCTTCACGCCTTGATTCACGGGCCCATTGGGGCGGTTAGGCTTTATTTCACAAGCCTTGTTCCTGGAATGGGCTGCAGGGTCAGGTCCTGTGACAACATCCATGAGCAGAGGGATGGATCTTGCAACTAACAGTTGGGTCATTAGTTCTCTGACCGCCCCACCTTGTCCTCAGACCTTCCAGGGAAGTTCCTTCTCAGGAAGCTGTATAGCCATTTGTGCTGGGTGCACCCCAAGAAGTTCATAGGAATTCATTCAAAAGCCTGGGTCAGATTTGCCGTGGATGACATTCTGACACTCTTCACCCCTCCCTAATGGTGGTATGCTTTTAAGCCTGAGTGCTGCTTTAACATCCCAACTCAGAAGTTTTGCATGTTAAGATGGCACGAACACACAGGTATTTGATACTCAACGAGGCATGTCTTGGCTAGGGGCAGCTCTGTCCCTCCTTATTGCCTGGAAATGTATTGATAGGCAAGAAGCTCACACATGCCTCCCTGAGTTGACCCACTAGTGAGAATGTTCATGCAGCCACTAATTTGACCTTTTTTAAAAACAAGGGAGACAGATCCTCAGCTAGTGTGAATTAACATTTCTATTCGCTTAAATGGCGCAATGCCAATTTACACCAGCTGAGGATCTAGCCTAGGTTTTCTGGCACTGAATCCTTGCTTTCCCCTGCCCCCCACCCCGATTGCACCCTACTAAAGAGCAATTATAAAGGGCCATGTGTACAGTCTATCTCGTAATCCATTCCATGATCTGCTCCTTGCAATATCTGAACTTCTAGGATCTGATTTTTAAAATGGCGATGCTTTTAAGAATATACCTAGATATTTGACTCAGAAAGTGGGATCACACTTCATTAATATGGAATGTACTTTAAAAACAACCACATTGCCTAGTTGAAGAGGGATTGGAAAGGACAGGAGAGAAATAAAGGTTCTTGTGACAATGGGTATTGGGGTCAGAATTTAAAATGAAGATCTGAATTCCTCTCTCCTTTCCCCACAATGGCTTTTCCATACACACGAGTATAGACGGTCCATCCTGTGCTGGGTTGCAGGCTTTAAATTAATTTGAAACTGTTTCAGGATAAGAGATTTAAAATTATGCTATAAGGTGCCACAGGACTCTTTGCCGCTTTTACAAAATTATGCTTGTTACTTGACGTTTTCTTTACTGGTAAAGTCGCAATGCAAGGAGAGGGAAAGCTAGGAGATCAAATAAACTGTTGACTTTTGACAGTAGGAAAACAAAAAGCTGCGGGCTGAATCCTTGCTGTCACTGAAATCTGTGGAAGTTTTGCAGTGACTTCATTGGTGCAGGGATTGGGCGCTGTGGTTCTAAGGCCATTTGGAATTGTGTCGCAAAAGGGTTTCATTGAATGTAATGCTCTCTGCTCTGTTGGAAAGATGAGCATTTCTGGTGACTCGGCATATGAAATCCTGGCCCCATTGTTTTGCCATCGACCACCGTGTAGCCAAGCTTTCACCCTGAGAGTTTAAGTACAAAAGAAGAAAGCATGGCCCAGATTGCGCTCTGTTAGACGGGTGTGAATTCAGAGGAACTCCATTCATGGGGGAGACATTTTTAAAATCAATGGGGTTAATCCAGATTTAACAGCAAAATTAGGGTCTATCTAATTTAACTACAACAAAAAAAATCTTATTAGAGCTGGCATTTCAAGATCAATAAATGTGATTATCAGTGGGGGGGGTGGGGATTTTTAAAGTCACAAAGGATAGATAAGTGCCCAATTTCCACAGAAAGTCAGTGGGAGTTGGGCACCCAACTTTCACATCTGCCTTTTGAAAATCACCCCACTTTCTTTTTGAACATTTTTTGCACTCATAATGTGTGCTCTGTCACCCAGTGTCCCTGATGTTCTGACAAATTGCCTGAAACGTGTAACTTGCGTTTTCCCCCCCCAATTTTGGATACTTTTACCCAAAAACCTCCTGTAAGAGTGCTGTTTGGTTTTTAAAATATCTGTCTTGAAATTTTACGGTGCTAGGACAGAAATACCACCTCATTGCAGGGGCCATGCTCATCTGAGACAGATAATCTGTATTAATAATAAAATCAGCTTTAATTCTAGGAAACTTCCTCCAGCTGGTACTCTCACCTCCAGTTGAATTGTTAACCTTTTTTAGTCTGTCTCAGTCTCTCTCTCTCTCTCTCTCTGTTTGTTATAAATAACCAACCTGAAGCTTTTCTTTAGTCATGGTTACTCTGTCATCTGTATATGTTGCACTGAAAAAGTTAATATTTAATGTTTTAATTTATTTTGTGTGGTTAAATTAATTTTTGA